AAGAGGTTATTCTGGTGGAGATAAAGGTTCCTATGTGATGCTGATATTTAGGTTGAACAAGCTGGTAGTTGAATGTCTTCCCCTTGAACTTGAAGGCATCGCGTTATACGAGTTTTGGACTGAGTGTTGTGTCGTAGGCATCTCGACATTGAGGTCGAAGAAGCTCACAATTGAATGCCTCTCTCTGGAACTTAAAGGCATCGTGTCAAATGGGTATTAAACATATTGTTGTGTCGATGACATCCCCATATTCAAGTAAAAAAATGGCAGATTAATGACTTCCCCTTGAACTAGAAGCGACATTGCCATACGAATTGTTCATGGAGCCACCTCAATAGATATCGTAACAAGTTGCTGATGAATGCCTCCCCATTGAACTTGATGGGATAGTACCATGATGTGGATTTCCCATTATGACGTTAAAATCATTACACATTACTGTAGTTGGGCTGTCAACTTGATCATATTATTGAGCCAAACCATACTGGAAGCATAATGACATACCACGAACCACAAACACTTCAACAAATATCACATAAATTTGTGTATCGGCGTATGAATTTTGATTTTGAGAATCAACCATCATAGCAACATCGTCATCGTTGGAGAGTTCGAACGTTGTATAAGTTAACGAAAATAATGCTGTTGAAAATTTGTACTGAAGTGAGGATAGTCTTCTAGTACTTCCAACATGAACCTTCATTGAAATTTCAGGAATCAACTCTTCAAGAGATGTTTCTCTTGAAGGATATTATGAAAAAATGATTTGATACGAATACAACACATGTTTCATTTTCCTTAATTTCTCCATCATAGTAAACAATAACTGAAATACGCCTCATTTTTAGAATTTGAAAGTGTGAAAGATTGAAAATCTTATATTTGAAAAAAAGATTAAATACGCCTAATTAAATAAATAATATACGAACTTAAAAATAAACTAATGCTAAAACATTTTAAAAAAATTCACTGTCAATTTAATAACACAATTTAACATTGTTTCCGTCTCAGGAAAATGTCTCGAGATTTGATCTCGCCTTCCATTTTATATCAGTACAAAATAAAACAAAATCATTAATACAAAAAGTTTTGGTCAAATAATTAAATATAAAATAATAATAACTAATTTTACATTCTAAGAACTATAATAAAATCTACTTAACTTGATAGAAGAAAGAATGTGAAAGTAATTTTGGTGTGATTTGATGTTTGCATTCGGGGTATTTATAGGGGAGGGGAGGGGTGAGTCGCCGAGCTTTTAAGGCTCGGGTAATAATAGAGTACCCAATAATTTAAGGTGAATAATGGAAGGCGCGGATGGTGATCTGTGCCTTCCGTCGCGTGGCAGTTTTCCTCGCGAATACGCAGATGGTGATCCGCGCTTTGCTCTCGTGGAGTCAGCTCGGATAAAAACCTAGGAAAGGGTGTTTGGTGATCCGTTCCTTCCATCAATGTCAACAAATGAATGTTAGATCGGTAAAATTTGGTTAACGGGTGTATGAGAATTAATTATTAATTGTTTGAATGATTTTTGGGTAAAACGCCGAACTTTCCCGCTGCTTTGGTGTCGTACCAAAGCTGAGAACTGCCCCGGTGCTGCAGGCGGCTGCCAGTTTTTTCTTTTAGAATTCTTTTAATTTGCAAATAGTTTGAAGGGTAACTGCCGAAATCAGTAATAAGAAACGAGGACTTCTTGTCCTTTTTTAAAGTTTTGAACATATCTATAACGGCATATAGGATAGTAACGTAAGGTTTAATCCCAATGTTTGCTGGGCTGAACTTCATACCTCTTTTGTTTTTTCATCCAAATAAAAAAGACAAAATGTTGAAACTTCGAACATTGTAAAAACGTTGACTCGGTGTGAATTCGAAAATTAAATTAAAAATTGATGTTGAGTAAAGGGTTGATGTCATTTCACTTTGATTAAATCAAAATAAACTAGTCCAAACCCCTTCTTATAAGAAGAACAAGAAGATTAAGCATATCCCCTCAAATGAGACGGGATGATTATATTTTGGCATTGCGAAATGCGAGTAGTACGTACCTCGTACGCAGACAATCATATCATTGTAGCCGCACCTAAATAATAAAATGGGTCCGACCCCGACAACTCTATACGTACCGTGTTATCCTTGCTTGCATCCAACAAAAGGGTGGAGTTTTCTCCCATTGCTTTAAGACGATTTACAAAATATTTTAGAGGATAAATATAATTATCATTATTTAGTAAATTAAAAATATATAGTTCCGAGTAACCAATTAATTATGTTTAATTAACATCCCGATTGTTTCTGCTTTTGCATCTATAATTCGCTTCGCTTCAGTTCAACCGAATAGGGTTAAATAAAGAAAAATGAAAAGGACGTATTCGTCATTTAGACTACTAACACACGTGTCAGTGCTTCATTGCTCTGTCTCGTACTTCTTTTGCACTAGACAGAGACTGTTTCACTCATTGTTTTATATAACAATCTTTCTTCCCTTAATACCCTCCCCCTCTTTATGTTCCCCAACCCTATCTGGGTACTTGATCACTAGGATTTTAAAATTTTCACAAATCACGATCTATAATTCTTTGAGATCTCAGATTATATCATGTAATCTCAAGGGTACGGAAGCTTTATTATCAAATGATTGAATTTTTTGAATAATATATAATGAGTCGGTCCAACCAAAATAATTACACTAGAATTAATTAATAATAAACTATACTATTAGTCACTTAATTATAGATATTATCTAGTTTTTGATCATTATTTTCTTAAAATTAATACTTTTGTTATTAAACATTTAACAATTGAATCACATTAGTGAAAACTATCAAATTATTTTTTTATTCATTTTATGTGAATATAACATTTCTCTCTCTTTTGTTCATCTTATCATCTTAATAATATAATCTTGGAAATTTTTATCTAATTTTATTTGTTAAAAAAATTTTTTTCTAACATAACATTACTGATCATCCTAGACATTAAAAAGATTACTTCACCCTCCATTATCATGACATTGATTTTAATTCAACTTGAAGAGACTTACAATCATGAATTAATCCTCCCAATACTAAATTATCAACCAATGTGTTTGTTTTGCAAATAATTCACATATACTTGTCAATCTTAGTCAATCATCAGCTTATGGAGTTGCATATTCTTCAACCATGACAAAATATGGTTCCATCGTTGTTTACAAATAATTGTTAAGCCATAAAAAATCCACGATTACCTCCATTAATGGCAACAAATGGTAAACTTCGATTCACGTTTAACTCAAGTATCAACATTCCACTTAAACCATTTGTCACTTGGGGCATCCATCGAATATCAGGGAAGTTTACCGTGCGGCAGCCTTAATATATGGCTAAGGAAAGACACTACCGGTTTTGTTATTATTTTTTTTAACAAAACCGGTAAAAAATTACCTAAAACATTATTATTTCTACCTAAAACATTAATTTTTTAATATTTCCGGTAAAGTGCCCAATAATAACAAAATCGGTAGAAAAAAAATAATGTTTTAGGTAACGCTTTACTGGATATGTTAACAAAACTGATAAAGAGCCAAATAATAACAAAACCGGTAGAAATAATAATGTTTCCGGTAATGTTTTACCGGTTTTGTTAAAAAAATAATAACAAAACCAATAGCGTATTTCTTTAGTCGTAAATTAAGGCTGCCGTACGCGAGAATTCCTTCGAATAACAATAGGAGGCTTCGGTTCATGTAATCGGAAAGTGTAAGATGCTCTTATAACATATACTTTTGAATTATTCAATTAATTCGTCATTGCATTGGTATACCCTCTACTTGCGCATTTATTTAATTAATTGTAAATGTTCACGTATTTCCCTTATTTTATTCATTTGGAATCATTTTTTCATAAAACTTCTGAAAATTAATGAAATTTCATCTGGATTTAATTCTTTGATTTCCTCTGAAAATAGTTTAATGAGGTTACTTTTTCTATATGTTGTTTATATTCAACGATGAATGTTTTTTTTACTGTTTTAAACTTTAACAAACACCTCAAACTTATAAAATTTGGAAAAATAAATCTTAAACCCTTAAAATAATTTATTTTTTGTGTTTAATTTCATGAGTTTTAAAAAAGATTTTGAAAAAATATAAATCCATAAAATTATGATGATGATGAGATGAGTTTATTAGTGTTTAAGGTGACAACAAAAGATGTTGGAGTAACAATTTTCAATAAATGACTAGAAATGGATAAAAACAAATTAATTTTGATGATAAAATAAAAAAATATTTTGATTTTCACATCGGTGCATATCAAGTTTCATGTCTACAAAAAACTGCCATATCATTTGGCTAAATATATTCTAAAGACTAAATATCATAATTAAAATGTATACTAAAATTCAACATCAAAATTGAAATATTTTAAAAATCAATACTAAAAATCGATTCACAACATAAATTTGATTAATAATATACTTTATTTTATTAAATAATAAGATTTTATTTTATATATCATAACCAACAATGGTTCGTTCAAGTGGTAAACAACTTGATATTGCTTTTAAGTAAAGTCTCAGGTTCGAGTCATTGTGTATGCAGAAAATTCCCATTAGGAGATTCAGCTACCAAAATAAGGTGTACGACCTGGGTCGATTTAGATTAGTCCGGACGAAGCCTTGTAATTATCTAATATTAAATATTACAAAATGCATATTTCATTTAAACAATCTAATAGTAGGACATAATAATTTTACAGAACAAAATCAACCGGTCAGAAAATTCATTTCACAAACTTTTACCACAAATATTTTTACCAAACTCATGTAACAAAAAGTGGATTTCAAAAAGCATATTTAAATACAGTTGATGCATCGAATCCCAAATCCGCCCGTATAAGTATTAGCCTCCGTCTCTTTCAATCAAGCGGTTTCTGTTTCATTAATTTTTTGTTCTCCGTCCTATCAAACTATAAAAAATAAGAAATTTTTTGTTCTACACTGGGTATCCTTTTTTGTTGTTTGGCTTTTCACTATTTAAGTCGTAACATTTTAAGCTTTGCTTGGTGTTGATAATGGAGGCATTGTCGTAGGAACTGATTTTGGAGCTCAAAGTTTAGGGCTTCTTTCTTTGCTGATGGATCCGGTGCGATAATCTTCTCTTAAGCTTAAAATAATTGCAAAAGCTTCAATTATGTATTTCCATTAGCGCTTTTCTCTACTATTAGGAAAGATGTTGCAACGAAATTCAATTCGATAAGTTTTGGAAAAGGATTATTGTTTTTTTTCCACTTTGTTTTTAATATTTACTATTTATTCAGTTTGAAACTTCATTTTGAAGTTTTATATGGGAAATAAAACAAAGGATGAAGCTCATTCAGTTGGAAAACCATTCGTCTTTCTATTTTCTTTGATCGCTGAGCTGCCAAACAAGTTTGGAAATTTCGTTTCTTATTTTTTTTTTTTTGCTTTTATTTTTTTCCTACGATTTGCAGGAAAATGAAAATCGAAGACTCGGTGATTTATCAAATGAAGACAATTTCCAAAACTTAACGCCAATAAAAGCAGCGCTACTCAACAACTTAGAAACCGCCCTCGTCAACTCGGTCACACAAGACGACAGGAATCTCTTCTTGACTCATTCGCGTCAACTCGTCTACGATTTGGATGACGATCCTTCGAACCGAAGAGGCTTGGCATTGAAGCTTCTCCTCCTCTGTTGTTACTTCGACGCTATCGAATGCACCACGTCGCTGCTCAACGGAGAAGTCGGAACCGACTTTCTGCCTCTGGTGAATGGGGTTGACACGGAGACGAAAATGACGGCTTTGCAGGCGGCAGCGGAGGCTCACTCGGCGCGTTGTTTGAAGTTGCTGCTAAAGAAACGCGCCCGTACAGAGACGAGGAGTAAAGATGGACGGAGTCTGCTTGCTCTGGAAATGGCTTTGTCTAGTAGCAGGTAAAAAATGGAAAATAAAGGAAAAAGGAAAATAAATTGTTTTTTTTTTCTGTTTATAAAGAGGCAAAAGTTGTGTGGTATTTCGAGGAAAACCGCAAAGTAATGGCCCTTTTTTGGAAATGTTGTTTTTTCTATTCTGGGTCCATTGTATTTTCTTGTAACTATTATTGTTTTCTTTTTGGTAATTAACAAGAATAATGCTAGTTCTTGCCATTTCTGTGTGATTTTCAGGATGGATGTGATATGGAACCCGGATGATTACATTGTTGAGGACTTGGTGGTTCTCCTTAGTGAAAAGGTTTCCTTAAAAATTGTTTGGTTCTTCAGAAATTATTCTAACAGAAAATGGTTAGAAACTGAATATTGTTGGACATATTTGACAGGATTTGACCGCGGTGAAACTTCTGAGTGAAAGAACGCAAGCCATAGGCGAGGTAGCACATTCAGCAGCCGTGGGAGGCAAAATAGTAGCTTTAGCAGCGCTTCTCATCGTAGCAGCGGAGAAAGTTAATGACGCCGTCGTAGTATTACCCAACGTTTATTCGGGGTCAAAGGAAAAAGACACCGTTTACCAGTGCGTGATCCGGGAAGCTTTATCGGCAGGTCTCCGTGACACTTCGCCGTCGATAACTGCTACGTCCCCAACCAAAGTCGGGACTGATATGAAACGGAAGCTTTTGCTTTGCGAGATCGAGTTGTTTCAGCTGTTTGGAGCCGATGCTCATAACAGCTGCGGAGATAAGAAGATGACATCACCCTTAATCCGTGCTATCAAGGTAATATACATTGTTTACCTCGATTTTTATGCTTGTTTGACGTAGGATTAAGAACATGCGGACACTTATTTTTTTTATGGTATTTATGGGATTAATAAAGTTACTATAAAATAATATTATATTATATTACTCTCCCTATTAAAATTATCCCTTTAAAAAATCAATAATTTTTACTAAACATATTTTCCTTTCTAACTTTTTTTAGTTTCCCAATAAAGTAAAATTTAAAATTTTCAAGATAAAATTTTAATTTTAATTTTTTACAACACAATCTCGATAAACTTTTTCTTTCTTAAAATTACACGAAAAATTAACAATTGATAATATAATTGGGATGGAGGGAGTGTATGGTATACAATGATTTTATATAAAAAATTAAATATTTATTTTATTCTTAATTTATTTAAAGATGAAAAAAAAATATTATGTAAGAACTAATTTATTTTATTCAAATAATATAGGAAAAGCAATGTTATTTGTCAATGGAAAAAAATAGAATATAAGAATAAGATCAATGAAAACCAACCACATAGGTTTTTCATAAATCATTTGAACAATGAGGTATGGGTAGTGTGGTAAAAACCTGGGGATCCGCTACATGGACCCTCTGGGGGATTTAAAAAGATTTGTGTTTGATTTTTCTACCGCGATTCATTCCCTTTTCATTGATTTCTTTTCACCCAGTTTTGTAGTCTGAACGATTCCTTGAAGGAAATGAACTTTCGGAGTCCCCGTTGTAATAATTTCTTGTTATCATAGGCCCGAGACGAAGCTGTCATCCAGCTGCTTCTAAAGACCAACATAGACGTAAATGACGCTGATTCTGAAGGAAACTCTGCTCTGCATTGGTCCCTTAGGATATCCTGGGCTTCATCTTCACAGCAGCTTAAGTCTCTCTCTCTCTCTCTCTCTCTCTCTCTGCATACATGAGTTTTTTTCCCCGTTTCTTATGATCGCGTCCTTCTTGATTTATTGTCGCCAGAATCATGTGGCTCCTACTGAGGCGAGGTGCTCGAGTAAACCAAAAAGACAAATTAGAATCAACTGCTTTCCACATTGCTGCTGCCAATGGGAATGCACAGGCACTCCAAGTATAGTTTCATCAACTTATGCTGGCTGCAAACTTTAAGATGTTAATTACCTTTGACATTTTCCTTTCTATTGTTCTTATAGGTACTTCTACTAGAAGATCCAGATGGAATCAACTACAAAACTATAATGAAAGAGACCCCGTTGTTTTTTGCTGTGAAAAATGATCATATTGAATGTGCTGATCTTCTGCAGCGCTGGGGAGCAAACAGTGAAGGCCTCAACTTACGGTTGCAAAACATACTTTTTAAGTTACATCTTGATTGTTGCAATAGTTCAGTTGCCATTGAAATTTAACTTCAAAAGCTAACATCAGTTGTCTTCGTGTTCTGAAGTAGAGAGAGGCCAATCGACCTGGCGAAGTCACAAGACATGCGTTTCATTCTAAACAAAACTTACATTACTCTCAGTAAGTTTTATTTTTGATAATAACAAGTCATAAATCTTAATGATCCCTACTTTGTTTCATCCAATCTCATGATATTCTAACGTGCAGAGCATCGGAATTCCCCCGTTGAACAGAAATATATTCGTTTCCAAGGCGATGAAGTGTTTTATGATACATGTGAAACTCTTCTTACCATGGCAGATGAGAGCAACTATACTGAAAGGTGAAGCTTCTAAAAAACTTTTAGACCATGAAAAAATTTCATCCCTAGCATCCAACTCACTGTCCTATTATCTTCCTATGCGAGTATATTGGGTTTTGTTTTTATTTCTGAATGTTCTTCTGCCTGTGTTCTGCAGAACCAACATAAATTTTAAAACAGAGATCTGTAAGTACTTTGAATCTGGAGGATGTGTCAGAGGATCCAAGTGCTTTTATGCTCATGGTAAAGAGGAGCTTCGACAGGCAAAACAGGGAATGCACCTAGTTCATTCTCTTGCAGCCGAAAAAATGAAAAGGAGAATTTTTGTAGGCGGCCTCCATCCTCTGGTTGATTCAGGTTAGATTTTTGTTAAAATCCTTTAGGTTCATTTAGTTTTATATGCACGCATTGCAAATGTAGTACTAGATCAGCCAGGACATGTTATAGCTTTTTTTTTCTTGGGCAGACTCATTGAGCAAATATTTTGAAGATGAATTTGGGCCTGTGGAAGATGCACATGTTGTTACTGTTAAAACAGGTGATGAATTAATGTCACGGGGCTTCGGCTTTGTCACTTTTAAGCATGAGAAGTCTGTTTTGAAGGCTGTTCAAGAGCACTATGTAACTATTATGGACAAGCAAGTTGAAATCAAAAGTGCGGTTGGGAGATGGGACGAGTCATTGAAGTTATCAACTCAGCAACATCAAAAGGATCCAAATGCCCAATATCAACCACCATTGGAGTCTTCCACCAGAAAAACTGCGGAAGAGGCGCCGAGAAGGAAGACCTTGGAAGACTCTAAAGCTGATCAAATCTCATGGGTGAATAAACTACTCCATGGCCAACCCAAGACGTGTTCTGAATCTGAAGTACTCGCTAGCCCCATTGCTTCACACCAAAAGGTTCCACTGTGGTTGAGAACGTTCAAGAAATGGCTTCCCAGTTTCTTACAAGAGGTATCAAAAAACCCAAAGGAAGATAAATACCCTTTGTCATCGTTGAAGGCAGATTTCAGGGCTGCATTCGGCTTAGAACTAGACCATGTTTCTCTTGGCTACACTAAGCTTAGTGATTTTATGAGATCTTTTCCCGATCTTTGTTGCATGAAGGTCATGCCAGTTGGAGGTGGTGGATCTCCCAATCACATGGTGCTTATTCCTTCCTCATCTAGGTCTGATTGGAAATCGCTTCAGCCTCTCACCATGCGCTGCTGCTCACCATCTTGTGCTGCAACACCGCAAGAAAATACCGATACTGATTCTAAGAAACCCAATTATCTCCGGGGTCTTTTCTTGAATTCTTGTGAAGATGTTTGCATCAGCAGAAGCCAGGTTGATCAATCTAAAAGTGGGCTGCAAGGGAATTCAGTTCTGAAGAAAAAATTGCCTGTTGCACACCCAAATTTTCTGCAAGTCTTAAAGTCAGACCTTTGCCTTCCTCAAATGAAGCTATTTGATGAAAGTAAAATTCAAACGGCAAATGCTAACGATGAAAAAGGAGGGACTCATGGTCGGGTATCCACTGATAGGAAACTTGGTCATACACGGAGACATTTGGTTCTTGAGGCCCTTCTAAGAAAACAGAAAAACTCATCCATATTCTTCCTTCGTCAATTTGATTTCTATCACGTAATCATAAACTTTATGTTTGATCATTCTTACTCAAGAATCCATGTTAAATATTGCACAACAATGATAACATCTCGGTCTTGATATGTGCAGAATTACAAGGCAAGCATTAAGCAAGGGAAATGCTTTTGGTGCAATCAGCCGAAGTTGTTATGGGCGAACTTTCCATGCAAACACTTGCTGTGGTGCAGCGAATGTAAAACGGAAGCTTCTCGAGCAGCTGGCGATTTCGATCATCGATGTGTGGTATGTGATACGAAGGTACAGACATTTGTCTTACCTACATTGGATATATACCCTAGGTCTTTACATGAAAGGCCCCTCAAAACCGAGGAATTTCCTCCTTTCAATCCTTCTCATATTCGAAGGTAAATCTTCTCTGAGGCCAACCATATAGCCCTAGAGCTTCTTGTGCTTATTTCTAGTGGCAATTGGTGTTTTGTACAAAACTCATATATTTAACTTTTGAGACTTTTCATAACCGAAATTATGTGTGGTGAAACTGAAAACCATCCGCCTGATACAAACAAGTATGATTTACGTTATGCAAAACCATAAAGCTTTTTCTTTTTCAGAAAATTGGCTTCTCTTCTACTTTTGTTGACTCAGCAGACTCTAAAAATACCATAAGAATGAGATGTAAAAGCTTTAGGATACTATTGTTGGATGTTAAATTGACAAACTAATATCATGCATTCAACCGCAATTATTGTTGGATATATTATGTTAAATGTTCATTTTTATACCGATATTCGATATATATTTGAATATGGATATAAGAGTTTGATCTTTTAAGTATATTAAATTTAGATAAAAAATTGAATATGCAAGTGTTAGTGCGTCACCCTTTTGAATATGGATACAAGAGTTTGATCTTTCAATTATTTGAATTTTTTTTATAGGCTTAATACAAAAAATAAGTGTCCAAACTATATCTTTGGTGCCTAAACTAATTTTCGTCTCGTCCAGGTACCTAATGTTACAAACGTTATCCATTTAGGTGTCTGAGCCGTAAACGACATTAATTTTTCTCGTTAAGTGACATGTGTCACAATCTGATGATTTTAAAATTTATTTTTTAAAAAATATTAAAAATATTATGATATTTATAAAAAAACACACACTAACTTTCATTATATTATAAAATAGCCCCCAAAATCTCAAATCCAAACCTTAATTCGTTGCCACTGCCTTTCCACCCACGACTACTGCCACCGACGTAGTCCCTACCATCATCCTACTCATATGCCGTCGTATTTTCCTTTGATTGGCCGTCGAAATCAAATGGGATCGTGATTTTAATCCTAGGGTTTGAGCGGTTTAAAATGTTGATTCGTGGTCGATTGACCGTCGATCGATCACGATTTCATGGGGCATTTGGTCGGCGATGGGAGGGGAGGTCGGTTGGTGTGAGTTTAGGGGTTGAAATGAAGGTTTTCATATTTTGGGTTTATTTATTTGTTTTTAATATATAATTTTATTTTTTAAATTTTAAATAAAATTTTTAAAATTACCATGGTGTGACATGCGTCATTCAACAGGAAAATTAACATTGTTACCGACCCAGACACCTAAATGGGTAACATTAGACACCTGGATGAAACGAAAATTAGTTTAGGCACCTGTTTGAGAAAAGCGGTATAGATTGGGAACTTATTTTAGTATTAAGCCTTTTTTATACGACTGAGTTAGGAAAATATATTAAAATCTCAGGACATCTTAATTTATTGAACAATACACTTGTTGGTTCAATCCCTTTTGATTATGTTACACTTGCATGCACACATTTTAGTGTTGAAAATATTGATACTACTACAAAACAATTGTTAGCATTGACTAAAAAAAGATAAATCAAAACTTTGTCTGGGTCATGAATGAGCATTGACATAAAAATAAAGTTATTTGAATCGGTATAATTGCTGAATTAAATGTTGTTATTAAGATTAACATGATCATTCAAAAAAGTATACATCCAAAATTCAAAGTGAAAACTGATGATATTATTTTTTTCGGAATGGAGAAGAAGAGGAAGAAAAGGGATTAAATTTCTTCAATGATGGGATGAAGAATTGGAAAATGGAGAGACGAAATTAGTTGCAGAGAACTAGAAATGCTTTATATGTTTAAGTGAATGGAAATAATCAGAAAGTTTCTCTATTTATATGTTTAAGTGAATGGAAATAATCAGAAATGATGTGGTGACATCATTAGTGCACAACCTCATAGTACTCAAATCCCTAGATTTCTCATAGTATACTTTGGGCAATTGAAACAAAGAAATTTATAGTATAATAAATCCTAAGTAAACCTTTGATATGGAAATAAAGAAAATTCTTTGAAAAACCTTTTTGAATAAAACCAATAAGATTTCTGTTAATAAGTTAGCACTATTAGTATTGCCTCACTAAGTCACTAAGTCATCGACTTAGCGTGTGTTTTTCTCACACGTAGGTTTGAAGAAAGCCGAGGGCTGAGTTGTGAAGGATAAAAAATCACCAGAAGAACAGATCAGAACAAATTAAATGTATGTTTTGGTTAAATATTGTAAATCCTTGGCATGTACTAAACTTTTAATTTGAAATGCTATGGTCGATTTTGTAAACTTGTATAATTTGGCTATTTTGTAAACTCTTATTTTGGTTATCTATGTAAATTATTACGACTTTATGTGAAATGATTTTATATTTGGAATGGTATTAATTTCTTTATATGGATTGAACCAAATTTTTGAAAATTATGTCTATTTTCAAATTTCATATGTTTAAAAAGTCAAATGTGACACATAGGATTCGTATCTGGATTGGGTACGAGTCAGGGATGTTACATTTAATGGTATCAAAGCTATGGTTTAAGTGATTTTAAGTTCAAAATGAAGTTGTTTTTTGGTTTAAAAAGAGTACATGCCAATTTTTAATAAAGTTTCCGATCTGATAAGAAAATCAATATGCTATATTCACTAATACCTTTAGTAATTTAATCTTAATTGATGTCGAACTTTAAGGGCTCCCGAAGTGATAGGATGGAGAAGAGTAGTAACTCCCCTGCCCCTAGTAGACAAAGTGAGGAGCATACACATCCTGGAATGCCTGTTCAAGGTCAAGGGACATTTTTCCAGACGTTGGATGCTATCCTGACGCGTTTCCAATCGTCTGTATCTTTAGCCACTAAGATGAATATCCCCAAAGAATTGAGAAGTCTGGGAGCACCAGAATTTAGGGGAGAAGCAGAAGAAGGTCTAGTTACTGCCGATATGTGGCTTCATGACTTGAAGGTCATGTTAGATAATCTCAATTGCTCTGAAATGGAGAAATTGAATGGTGAAGTTTCGCTTTTAAGAGGCCAAGCTAGGATATGGTGGTCTAATGTGAAGATGAGGGTGGCAAAAGAGCATGTGACGTGGTCATTATTTTTGGAAGAGTTTAAGAACAAAAACATCGGGGATTAGTTCATTCGGCAAATGAAGTAGGAATTTATGAACCAAAAGCAAGAAAATCGCACGGTGTATGAGTTTGAGTGAGAATTTAATAAATTAAGCCGATTTGCTACTGAGTTAGTTCTTATCGAGAAGGACTCTTGTGACTGGTTCGTGGAGGGTTTGAGACCCAGACTAAAAGAATTACTATTACCACTAAACCTCTCTTCTTTCCAGGAGGTTGTAAATAGAGCTAAAGCTCTGGAGCGAGCTCAAAATGAAAGGTTTTCGGAGCAGCGGACGCAATGGAATAAAAGATCTGGTGCATCATCTGGATCTTCGCAATCAAAGAAGTGTAGGGTTTCAAGTTCTCGACCTTAGACCAGAGCAGAATATGCATCATCCTCGGGTAGAGGATCCAATCCGGGAAGAGCAAAACAAGCTTATTCGGTGGAATCCGGAGTGGACAAGCCGAAACAATGTCAACATTGTGGAAAGAACCATGGTGGAGTGTATCGACGGGTCTCCGGAGTTTGTTTTAAATGTGGAGAGGCAGAGCATTTTATTTGAGACTGCCCAATGACGACTGAAGAGCCTGCTCAGACAGAGAGATCTATGGTTGCACCAGTGAGAGGAAGAGGTCGAGGAAGAGGAACAAATCAATTCGAGTATTCTTCTTAACCTGAAATGTGTACTACAGCTCGGGTTTACAAATTGAAGACCAGTGAAGATTGTGATAACCCTGAAGTCATTGCAGATACTTTTCAGATAGATGATAAATCTATCTCAATTTTGATTGATTCGGGCTCAATTACTCCTATGTCAGTAGTAAATTGGTTAAAGAATGAAGTCTTTCTTTAGAGCCTATTCATAGTGAGATGATTGTGACGAATCCATTAGAAAATAGTGCTCGGGTGAGACAAGTTTGTAAAGGGTGTCCCATAAGGATCCATGGAATTAAATTCGCTGCTAATCTAATGGAATTATCTTTTGATGAATTTGAGGTTATTCTGAGAATGAATTGGCTTTATCATTATTATGCCAACCTAGATTGTCGAATTAAACGGGTGCGATTAACAAGTCTTGAAGGATTGGAAGTTAGTGTAGTCAGTGAAAGAATCCATCCTTTAGCTAATGTGATATCAGTGATATCCGCTCAGAAGTTGATGCTACAAGGATGTCAAGCGTACATTGCTAATGTGATTGATACAAGAGTTACAGGGAGTAAGCTTGAAAATATTCCAACAGTCCAAGAATTTCCAGATGTGTTTCCGGATGATTTGTCTGGGTTATTTCCTGATAGGGAGGTTGAGTTTCAAATTGAAGTGATGTCAGGATCAACACCCATTTCGATGGATCCTTACAGGATGGCTCTGAAAGAGTTGAAAGAGTTAAAATCTCAGTTGTAAGAGCTTTTAGAAAAAGGGTTTATTAGACCTAGTGTGTCTCCATAGGGTGCTCCAGTGTTATTCATAAAGAAAGAAAATGGTTCAATGTGCCTCTGTATAGATTATCGCCAGTTCAATAAGGTGACCATAAAGAACAAGTATCATCTTCCGAAGATAGATGATTTATTTGATCAACTCAAGGGAACAACCATGTTTTCAAAGATAAATTTACGCTCTGGGTATAATCAGTTGAAAATTCAAGAAAAAGATGTTCCTAAAACGGCGTTTAGGACTCGGTATGGTCATTTTGAATTTGTGGTAATGTCATTCGGGTTAACTAATACTCCTGCAACGTTTATGGATTTGATGAATAAAGTTTTCAACCGTACCTTGATCAGTTTGTGGTCGTCTTTATTGATGACATATTAGTGTATTCTAAGTCAAAGGAGGAACATGATGTTCATCTTCGTGCAGTTCTTCAAACGTTGCGAGATAAGAAGCTTTATGCGAACTTTTCAAAGTGCGAGTTTTGGTTATCTGAAGTAGCATTCCTTGGACATGTGGTTTTAGTAGAGGGAA